TTAGGATTTTGGTTTTCTTCAAATTTATTTTTAGTCCTGCCAGATTTCCATATTCTTGAATTTGGTTCGTTAGATGAGTTATGGATGTGATGGGTTCTTCCAGAATGAATACCAAATCGTCGGCGAAGGCCTGTAGTTTGTAATGTTCACCTTTTATTTTGGGGCCTCTAATGTTTGGATTCTGTCTCACCATGTCGTTTAGGGATTCTAGGCAAAAGATGAAAAGTAAAGGTGAGAGCGGGCAACCCTGTCTGGTGCCTTTCTGAATTGGGATCTTTTGTGATAATTCTCCGTTTACAACTATTTTCGCCCATTGCTCTTTATATATGGCCAAGATCATATTTTCAAACTTCTCTCCACATTCCCAAGTTTCTAATTTATACTTCAAAAAGGACCAGTTAACGTTATCAAAGGCTTTTTCTGCATCCAAGAATATTAGTGCAAGCTGTTTGCCTGGATTATATTCATAATATTCTAGGATATTTATAATTGTTCTAACGTTGTTCTTTATCTGCCTTTTCGGAAGGAATCCTGATTGGTCCCGATGTATTATTTGGGTCATGACTTTTTTGAATCTTGCTGCCAGGATTGAAGCAAAAATCTTATAAGATATAAGAGTATAAATCAGCTTCTTATGTCCATATAAATAGAGCTGCCCAAAACCACTCTGGATGCATCAATGGCCACTACCTGGAGATTTCTGGGGTGGACCCTGAGCGGTGGGTGTTGCCTTCTGACACACTTCCAGTGATGTCAGGGGCGTGGCATATGCAAATAAGTTATGCTAATTAGTTCTGCTAATGAGCTCCTGCACCTCTTTTTCTACAAAATGACCCCTAGAGTCAATGCATCTCAATGGTGCCGCTTATAGCACTGAAGTGCTATAGCGGTTTAGCGCGATAACGCTTGCCTTAGAATGTTTTTTTAAAAGTCCAAGGAAGATTGCACACGGGGAGGGGAAGCGGCACTGTTTGAAATGACCATAGCACTTCAGACGGCTCATTAATGGAAGGAAATTGGCTGTATGAAACGCCCGTTCCTGTATCACTTTACTTGAAATCAGGCCAACAATGAATAACATCTAGTTTAGAACGGCAATGTGAAAAGGAGCTATGTATTGCCAGACGTTGAAAACCAGCTGCCTTTTCTTCAGAAATGAATAAATGAAAAGCTCTGAGAATGGAAAATCTACAACATTTTCAAATAAGTCAGCCCCCCAAATATATAATTTTGCCCCTAGAGTAGGGTTACCAGCTCTGGGGTGGGAAATACCTGGAGGTTTGGGGGGTGGAGCTTGGGGAGAGCAAAAGGTTTAGCAAGGGCCAGCAAGACAACTGCGGTGGAGACCAGGAAGTCGCACAGTGACGTGCATTGCGGGCGCGGCGGAGCCGAAGAGGACGAGAGCCGAGGCCGAAGCAGGCACGGAGGCGTGCGCCGGAGACGGTCCCACCAATGAAGCAGCCGGCCCAGTGAGATGCCAGAACTGCCGGAAGAAGGAAGAAGCCGAGCCAGAAAGATACAGCGGGTACCACCAAGGGTGCTGATAGGAAATCCCCTCCCCTATCATGTGGCCTTAGTTAGGATGAACGCGTTCTTAGAACACTTCCTGCAAACCGCCCAGAGACCCCTTGGGGTTAGGGCGGTATAATAAGTCGAATAAATAAATAAATAAATAAATAAGACGGAGTTGTTCTGCCAGGCCTAAGGCTGAGGGCAGCAACGGTTTTTCGTCCTAGACTGGCTCCCTTCCTCTTTCCCCTCCCCCTTTCCTTCTTATCAGATTTTAGGATATTTATTTCCCTCCCGGGATAAGGAGCACTAGGTTGTGCCATCTATTAGTTGTTGTTAGTTGCTGCTATACCTTTGTATTACAGAATCGTTTTAATAATTTTAACTGTATGGGAAGTTTTATTAATGCTGTTACCCGCTCTGAGGCCTGTATACAGGGGAGGGTGGGCTATAAACTGAATGCATGAATGTACATGGCAGGGCCTGGATACCACAGAATGCTTAGCCAAACTATCTGTAGTTGCCTTGAACCTTTCCAGCCTCCACTAGATAGGTTGCCAAGGAAATAGTCTGTGGCTGAAATCTAGGGGCTATTTGATGCACCCCATTCATCATGTTGTAACTCAATGTGCTGCAAAATATCTAGAAGAGCAAGAGACAAAGAAATCAAAATGGGGGAGGGGCACAGTTATACCACTGGCTTTCCCATTCATCACTTGGCTACCACAGACCTATGTGCAACCTGCATCCAGTATATTACAGTGTACAAGCTGTGCTGTACAAATTTTAGCTTTTTAAAAAAATTCTACAAATGGGAATGTGGTCAGGTGCTGATTCTGCATGATATTTGAGAGGGAAACAAACAGCCTCCATGTTTTGTGCTATGGGAATCCAAAGGCGCCAACAACAGATGTCAGTGGCCAACTCCCTCTCCTCATGGCGCTCTCACACAGTGGATTCACCCTTCCAACATATAGATGAGTGTCAAAAATGTTCTACCATTCATATTACACATGAGGAAACAGCAGACAACAGCAGCACAGCCACAAATGAGTTCTAGTGCCCCTCTCCACATACACACACCAAACCAATCGGTGTTACAGACTTCCCTCACTCCCTCCTGGGCCACTCCCACCAGCCACCCCTGCCCTCACTCACATTCCAGATTGCCCAAGAGGAAATAGAGCCACGAGATGAGTAACACCAGCATCAGTGTGGCAAGCAACACCTTCAGCCTTCCCCTCCAGGGACACAGCATGATGGTGGCAAAGGTCACGGAGGCAGGCCTAGTCTCACCGGAACCAGCATTCTACACCCTGCAAGAAAAATAAACAGCATTCAGAAGGATTGACCAGTAGTCTTGATCCGCCAACCAGGGTCTATCACAGGAGGGGGGAGGCAGAAACGCCATTTGGCCTGGGTCTCACATTTATGGATAGCCTGAAATTTAGACTTTCGATGCTACCTCCAGATAGACATGGAGTGACAGGATTGGAAGAAGACAACATGCATCATACAACTTTAAGCTTGTGTCCCATTATGCAACCACACCACCTGGACGCAGCAAAGAGGCTGGGAGCTGCGCTGGGCCCAGCGTGACCTCTCCCCCCCCCAACACCATTGACACCACTGCCAAGCGTCAAAAAAATGGAAGTGGCCCATGCCTCTTTCGAGCTCTGAGACGCCCTGCCCCCAAGGGCACTTGCCTCATCCCCAAACTATGGGACACGGGGACTTTACTAGCCATGGCTTTCCAAAACTAGAAATGTCCAAGAAGCAATATGTCATTTTCTTAGCATGCTGCTAAAAATAACGTGTACGCTTTTCCCCATCCCACTCCACATAGGACAGAAAGCTTACAGTGCCACCCACTTTCCAGCATTCTACTGCTATATTCATCTTCAAAGAAAGCCCAACCCTCCGTTGCAAGGTTTTGCTTCCCAGGGTCCCTGCTCCAGAAGCTTGGAAGCCTGCTGTGGCCTCCCCCCCCTTTTCCATTTGATTGGCTTTCCCCTCATGTGAAGGAGTTTATGCTGCTCCATTAATTTGTAAGCATCTGGGGGGGGGGTGTACATTTTTAATCTTGATTGTCTGTTTGGGGACTCACTACGAAACTGGGTGGGCGGAAGGAGCAACATGAGGGCAAACGTCGACACCTGCAGGCCTTGCAGCTTAAGACAACGCTCCTTCATTCAGTAGAGGCAGTTAGAAAACACTTAGGGCCCAAGGGGGACTTCCCATTGAACATATGAATATCAGCAGATGTGGGTTAGTAGCTAGCATTTAGGGGCTTGGAGATGCAGACTTGACTCCAAAACTCCCTGAACAACTATAGATAGGCAAAATATTCTCTCATACTTAGTTCACAGAATTATTATGAGGACAAAATTAAGGACTTTATATATATGCTGATACAAACTAAGAGAAACAAGGAGTCAAACCAAACCTGAACCATACCATTTGTTTTCTGTCTAGGAGCTCCATTCCAATTCTTCTTTCAAGGCAAACAAAAGATTTCAGGTTTGGGTTCAGTCCTACTTCCGGGGGGGGGGGGACCCCTCAAAACCAATTTTGGGCTAGGGTTCAGGTTCAGTCTGACTGCCTGTACAGAAGTGCTAAAATTTTAAATGGCTTCAGACATGTGCAAAGTGACTTCCCACACATCACTATCATAATTCACAAGTTAGTGACCACGGAGGAAGATATCATTCATGTATGATGAAAAGGCAGGATTTTTTTTAAAATGACTTATTCTGTCATAGGACACACAACTCATGACCTTAGAGCTGGGGCACATCCTGATGACTATTTTTTGAGATCAGATGCACTGATTCGGTCTGTTAGCTACCCTATAGAGAGGCATGGTAGGATTTTTAGCCTGTCCTAGTCATATGCTTGTCCGTGTAGCTGACTGGGCAAGCACAAAACTATGTTGTTCACATTGTTAACTTTGCATACTTGAAAATACCCCAGGAAAGATGTACTTTGCTTTCTGAGAGACACTTCTTGCGATCCTGGGGTTTGGTATTCTCAGTTTGACCCTGTCGTGCTGGTCGATGGAACAAGATCCCCAGAATGGAAATGCAGACTAATAGAAGGAATCACAAAATCAAAAAAGAAAAGAATAAATAAAAATTGTTTTCTCCCAACTTCAGATGCCAGGGCTCTTTCTGCTTCACAGCCTGACTGAGCATTGGAAAGATGGGGGAGGTTAACAATGGTCCTGTTACTGTTCCATGAGTAAAAATCCTTGGGCTGCTGCTCTTCAACTGTGCACCAATGTACAACTGAGACAAGCAGTCTTCATTGTGCCAGATACTGCTTGTACTTCACATGCTTGCTGATACATAACTGAGCCGTGACACCCAAACCCCAGACTACCCCAATTTCCAATGTGCTCAATGCGCTGGCCTCTGCTGGTGTCAGAAGTGGTGTCGGCACTGGTTCAAGCCATGCTCTGCAGCTCGCAGTTGGAGAGAACTCCTGCTATTCCTCCTGCTGCTTCCTGCCACATTGGAACTATTACTACAAACACTAAAAACAGCCTTTGAGGCTAACAATTTAACTGCAAGTGTTCCAGAAACAGCACCTTCATTCAGCTGATGTGATGCAACTTAGCCATATGCTTCTGCTATTATATTATGCTAGGCAGCCTGCAGCATCAGTTATACAGAAACATGCTGGAGCTTATTTAAATTTACTGTCATATTTAAGTGTTCTAACAACAAACACAACATATATTAAAAGTTCAACAAGTGAAGGGAATGTAACACAATTTAGGGGATGTAAAAGGGAAAATAAAAAGGCAAAGGGAAGAATGGCTGACAGGGTACTTTTTTGGAAAGTACTGGATATTCTCACCTGCTTGGTAAGAACCCAAAGCGTATTTGACCCAGACTTCCCCATGGAACCTTATCTCATACAAACAGTGTGAGTCCTAACCAAATGGAAAAAGAAAACTCCTTAGGCAGCCATCTCTAGGGAAGTGTTATTAGGAGCCGATCAACCACATTTCCTCCCCAAGATGATATTCTGTAATGTCCCTACTGGGATAAGGCGGAGGAGATTCCTGCCATTAAGGAGTGACATTAATTAACATGGAGTACAAAAGGAAAATATTCTTGCACAATGTACATTGAAATGAGCAGAAGTTCTTGCACTGTTCCTATCATAAGAACATAAGAGACGCCAATGTTGGATCAGGCCAAAGGCCCATCCAGTCCAACACTCTGTGTCACACAGTGGCCAGAAATACCAGTGCCATCAGGAGGTCCACCAGTGGGGCCAGGACATTAGAAGCCCTCCCACTGTTGATCCCCCCAAGCACCAAGAAGACAGAGCATCACTTGCCCCAGAGTCCCTATCTATACCTTGTGGCTAACAGCCACTGATGGACCTCTGCTCCATATGCTTATATTCCCTTTTGAAGCCGTCCATGCTTGTAGCTGCCACCACTTCCTGTGGCAGTGAATTCCATGTGTTAATCACTCTTTGGGTGAAGAAGTACTTCCATTTATCTGTCCTAACCCGACCCCTCAGCAATTTCATGGAGTGCCCACGAGTTCTTGTATTGTGAGAAAGGGAGAAAAGTACCTCTTTCTCTACCTGCTCTTTCCCATGCATAATCTTATAGACCTCAATCATGTCACCCCTCAGTCGTCGTTTCTCCAAGCTAAAGAGCCCTAAGCGCTTTAACCTTTCCTCATAGGGAAAGTATTCCAACCCTTTTATAATTCGATACGTCAGTGAGTCTAGTGCGGAAACACATCCTGGGTAACTGTCCCCACATTCATTCATTAAATAAGGATTTCCCAGGGCCTTTCTATTTTAGGTACCACAATGCCTAAGGACAGCCCTTGATCATATCTAGCTTCTGGAAGAATAGATGAGGTCTTCCTTCTAATTCCCATGCATCTGCGAATGAATCAAACTCACTGATGGACATATAAAATCATAGAAGGGGTCATCTGGGCCATCTAGTCCCACCCCCTGCTCAAGCAGGATTAGTTTAAAGCATCCCTGACAAGGGTTTGTCCAGCTACTGCTTGAAGACTGCCAGTGAGGGGGAGCTCACTACCTCCCTAGGCAGCTGATTCCACTGCTGACCTTTTATGGTCAGTGGCCCCACTGCTGGACCTCCTGATGGCACCTGGTGTTTTTGGTAATACTCGTGTGTTGTTCTTAATCTGTCTTTTTGGCAGAAATCCCGCCTGATCTTGTTGGATTATTTGGGAAAGTACCTTTTTTACCTATTAGCCAAGATATTTGCATATATCTTATAATCGGCATTCAGTAATGAGATCGGCCTATATTTTTTAATATCTTTATCGTCTGTGCCTGCTTTATGAATCAATGTAATTGTAGCTTGTTGCCAGGAATTTGGAATCTTTCCTGTTAGTCCTATATTTTGTAGTTCTTTAAAGGGTGAACATAACTGTTCTTCAAAACGTTGATACAACTCTACTGGCAGGCCATCCAGACCCGTAGCTTTTTTCTTTTTTAATTGTTTCTATGACCTCACATGTTAAAATTCTTTCGTTCAGAATCTTTTAATACTTTTCCTCCAGTTTTTAAGTGTTTTTCCTCAAATGTAATTGCCAGTTTTATCTTTCTGTTGATCTTCCTGCTTATACAGATTTTTGTAGAATTTTTCTGTTATTTGCTTCATTTCCTGTACACCATACTTTAATTCTCCTTTTTCATTTCTTAAAGATCTTATTATATGCTTTTCTCTTTCCTTTCTAAGTTTATATGCAAGCCATCTAGATGGTTTATTGGCATTTTCAGTGTAATTTAGCCGAACATATTCAATACTTTTAGCTATTTCTTGATTCAGTAATAGATTCAATTTATGGTGCAATATTCTTAACCTATCTTTCCCATCTTTAGAATCTGAGTTTTTAAGTTTATCTTCTTCTTTCCTAATTGATGTAACTAATCTTTCATAGCCTTCTTGTTTTCTTTTTCTCCTCCATGACTCCTGATTGATACACCAACCTCTGACAAAACCCTTAATATATCCCAGATTGTTGTGATAGATATCTCCGGTTGCATATTCCCTGTAAAGAATTCCTGAATCTCCACTTTTGTTTCTTTAATAAACTTCCAATCTCTTAAAAGACCAAGATTCATTCTCCATCTCATTTTCTTTCGTGTCTCTCTAAGGAGTATTGTTACTGGGTTGTGATCTGCAAATGTTCTAGATAGTATGTCAGCTTCCATTATCTCATGTAATCCACTGGCTGACATCCAAATCATGTCTATCCTCGACCAGGCCTTGTGTCTAGCCGAGTAATAGGTGTAATCTTTCGTATTG